CAACATAATAGAAAAAGAAATTGTGTATAAAGAATGCCAGAAAGTGCAAGTAGAGTATTCAGAAATGAAAAACGAAAATATACTCAGAATTTATTGGAAGAAGAAGTAGATTCTAGAATGAATAGAGCGAGACAGTTGTACCAAAAAATAAACAGTATAAGAGGATTCAGAAAACATAATAAATTCTTGAAAAACGAAGATGGCTCACTGACTACAGGATAGGAAGAAATGTTGGAAAAATGGAGGCAATATTTTGGCCAGCTGCTCAACTGCGAAAATCCAGAAGAAACTTTTGTATGGACAATAGAAGAACCCAACGATTGCGAATGCCTACCCCCTACTAGCAATGAAATAAAACAACAAATATTTTTTCGATAAGTCAGTAAGTTTTCACCTTCAACAAAATGATATGCATCTATGCTGCTTTTAATGATTGCTTCACCAAACATGCATGCAAATGCACCGCAATCGTATCCATTGTACTGTTGAGGAACATTCGGAACATAAACCTTATACTGGTCAATAGAAAATAGCCTATTGTGAAATTCTTCGTACATTTTTAAGTAATTAAGAGCCAGGCTGATATCTTGTATCTTAATACTACTATGAAAACTTTCCAAATACAACACAGTCTTTGACTTCGTTAAGAACACTATCAAAATAATATGCTCGTTCCTAGTAACAGGCATAAGCACAATATCATACTCTGGTATTTGGTAACTCAGGAATTCTTCCAAACCTACCTGCAGAATCGTTTTGTTCATATGACTATTTTGAGTTTCTGAATAGTTACTCATATAGAAATCTTCACATACGAAAAAATTCACTGATCTATCTTCTTCTCTAGAAAGTATTGTGAGGTATACACATATTGTTTGACCATAGATATAAAGTTCATTGATGTTCGATATTCCAATAAAACATTTTCCAACTCTTCATACTTCCCGTGGTTTTACTTTTTGTCGTTTGCTCCCACCTAATAAGCCACTTTGTTCATTAGCAATATCCTTTTGTTTTTTTCTCAATCAATCCTTCATCATATTTTTTCAAAATGTTGAGTTTGTCCGAAATCGATAGCGCTTTATGTTTAATACCACTAGCCATAATGAAACAACAATTGTACACGTGCACTTACTAAATTTCGTAATACGATAAAATACACTAAAACTATTATATAGGTAATGATAAAATAGGCAGGTATAGCGATAAAATAAAACGATAAGAATTAAGAACATATAAACGAGTAAAATTTCTATTTTTATTTTCACAAAATTACTAAATTTGATCGTAATCAGTTGAACAAAAGAGCGTTTTATCTGATGCGATAGAAAAAAATCGAGCGTCTTAACAGTGATTTTTACATTGACTAGTATAGGAAATATCTAGGGATCGACAGAAAACAGTGTCTTATGCGGGAAAGCGTCTTAATCGAGTTTTACTGTGCCTATATCTCTTAACTTAGCCCCTACATTATCTTTAGTAGCTAAGGAAGAAAAATTTTGAATAAAATTACTCTCTAATTTAAAAATATAATTATAAAAGTCATCATGAGGCATAAGTAATTTTCCATAAAGAGAATTTTCATTAGAAGGGTAGAACACGATTCCGCACGTTCATTCTTGTAACATGAGATTGATACAATTAGTGAATATTATTTAGGGTCCTGAACTTTTCCACCTATTTACCATGACATTTCAAGTTTAAACTAATTGAAAATAAGATAAGTCGGGTATTTTGATAAAGTCGATAAAGATAACAATATACATTTAATTACATGTGTTCTATATGTCAACCAGCATAATTTACCGAGCATCCGAGTCTATATGATTTGATTAATATTTTTTATGCGACCTAAAATTGTAACGATAATCTCGTAATGACGAGATTATTTTGATAAATTACCCATAATATAGTTGTTGGTTGGTGTTGTCAGTATGGCGATGGTAAAATATACCAGTCTAGTCAGAACTATCTAGTTAAAACGCAGCGTGTGGGTACGAATTTTTTATGGTGGTAAAATTTATAAGTTAATTGATAGGCATGGAGAATCCATTGGAGATAATAAAATCTGAAAAGGGCAACGACTTAGCGTTGATAAATACATGTAAATATCGGCATATTCGTTAGCTAAATGACGGAAAAGTGAAATGGAGGTGCATACATAAAACATGTACTGCAAGTATTTTAACTGACTCAAAACATACAATTCTATTGGAAATACTGGGAGAACACAAGTATACATTAGATACTGTAAAAAAATTCAGCGTCAAATTTTGCGAGAAAATTATAAAAGAAAAGCTAATGACACGGTTTTAGTAAGATCTTCAAAAATTATAAGAACTGAGCTTTTAAAAGCGGATTATGAAGTACCTCATAATTATATTAAATCTGTTCGAAAAAGTATGTATGATTTACATCGAAAATATTACCCAACATTTCCGCAGTCATTAAATAGTACTATCACACAACTTAAAAAAATGCAAAACGAAGATCGCTTTAAATTTAAAAACGAAAAATTTATTCATATTTCTGAAAATCAAAACTTCATTTGTATTACAACGAGAACAAATATTAATTTACTCACACAGTGTGATGACATATTTATAGAGGGCACATTTGAATATGCTCCTAAGTATTTTTTACAACTTTATACAATCTATGGATTTAAAAATGGTTTTTATATACCACTTGTATACTTCTTTTTACCCGATAAATGTGAAGAAACTTACATTCAAATGTGGACATTTAAAAAAAACATATGTTTTGAATATTTATTCACCAGACTATGTATCCACACATTACATGTGTATTTTGAAAAAGCTGCACATGAAGCCGCGAAAACTATGTTTCCTGGAATAGCTATCATTGGGTGTAGATACCATTTAGGTCAGGAATGGTGGCGTAAAGTAATTAAATAATATTATAACTTAATTTTTATATTTCACGTGAGACATAATATACGTAATATCACATAAATTTGATATTTAGATACAAGAACACAATATTTTAAGAACTTCAAATTTGATAGATGGAGATGAATTAGGAATTTGGTTAAAATCATTTTTTGGATTACCGTTTCTCCCAGTGGAAAAAGTTGAAGAAGGCTTTTTAGAACTCATGAGTACGTGTCCAAATAAAAATGAAGGCTATATATTTTCTGATTACATACTTAAGTCATACATAGAACCTGGTTGTCTATTCTCCTCTGAATTATGGGCAAGTGAACCTTCAATTAGTCCAAAATAACTTACATTTTATTTTTTATAATACATTTTATTTAGGAATACTGAAAAAAAATTGTTTTGTTAGAACCACAAATGGAGCAGAAAATTTTCATAAAATGTACAACGGACAATTTCACAGTGCTCACCCACCAACGCCTATAGTAATATCTGTACTAATGGAAATACAAGCCGAAACTATGACAAAAATCAATTAAATTGCTAGAAACGTGCACAGTAAAATGGGATCATCCGATTTAAAACGTATATGTAACGTTATAGAACATTTTAATAATTATAAAACGAATAAAAATAATATAAAATATTTAACATCTATTGGCTTTATGTATCAAGGGAAAAAATTATATTAAATTATATTTTTGTTTTGTAATGACGGCTCACTAGATATATCTATTTACTAGGGATAACTATTTTTATTATTATAATATTTTTTTACATCATAATATTTATATAATAAGTATATAATATATTATATAAATATATAATAAACCGTTTGCAATAAATTTGAAAACGTTGCATCCAATTCCTATTGTATTCCTATAAACAATAGTGTGCGGAATCGTGTTCAAAAAAAAAAAAAACGTGCGGAATCGTATTTCTCCCTATTTAGAAGAACATTTAAAAAAAGATAAAAGAAAAGATGGTTCTATTTTTTTTTTTTTGAAAATTAGCATAATTTATACATTTTTGACAAATTTGTTTTTCTAAACATTTTTTCATTAAATTGTCGCAAATATAAGTAAGAACATTAGATTCAAGGACATTTAATTTTTTGTAATCTACTATATCACTAGTAATAGGAGTCAATTTAAAAGGATTATTATTTGTTTATTTATGATTAAAAATGTCTTTGTATACATTATTTAATTCATTCACTTGACAAAGAACATTATCAAGATCATCAATACAATTGGCACTTGGAGAATGTTTGCAATATTCGAGGCAAAATATTTTTTTAAAGGCCCAAATAAACTGAATTTGAGTTGGGTTATAATTATTGCCATTTTGTTGGTGAAATGTACCAAATACATTTTCTAAGCAGTCCTGTTTAATTCGACCTGTACGAAGGATATAATCTTTATTATTTCCGGGGTTTAAAGAATTCCATAACATTTTCAAACCAAATAGACTAATTAACCAACCATTTACAAAATCTATTCTTTGAGTTACATCATATTTTTAAACATTTTTTTATTTTATTTAAATGATCTAATTGCTGTACTTTAATTTTAAAAAGATTATTAAATATCTTACTATTAGGAGTATCAGATGAATTAAAAATATCAAACAACCTATTCATAAAGCTAATAATTTTAATTGTACATTTTAAAGTGGTTGGTAAAGTACCCAGATACCTGCGGCTACAGTATGGCTAAATATTTGAGCTGCTAATCTCACCTTCTTTTTTTCGAAAGGCCCAGGAAGAATATGTGCATATGTTAGTTTAGGAGCCATTCGCACATTAAATTTAGTATCATAATTCTAGCTTTATTAGCTCATTAGGTACTAGGTCAGGCTCTGGAACCGCTTCTGACGGAAGATTGGCAACGACCCTCGCCAACTCCTCAATTGTAATCTTTTTTTTTTTTTTTTTGGTTTAATGCGCTCCGTGATCAACTGGGGGGAACTTTCCCTTCCGGTAATCCTCCCCCAGAAGACCGAGTGCCGTTTATTATTAAAAACAGTCATCCACAGGTGTTTTGGACAGTGGCAGGCAAATCCCCTGCTCACTGTTCCTCACAATAAAGTTTAAATTTATATTTACAAGAACGAGGGGCTCTATCCCCTCAAATTTGCCTTTGGCTACAATACATCAATAAAACTATGCTATAAGTTGCTGATGTCGTTTCCTTTGTCTCTCGTCTTCTTCCCTGGTTTTCAGTACGTGGACCACGTAACCGGTGACTTCATCCCAATTCTTTTTACTCTCCAGCATCCTCTTCACTGCCGTTTCAGGAGTGAAATCCTTGTTAGTTTTTACCTCCAGCGCCCTTCGTAACTTCCACCACCGGTCGCAATCGAAAAAGGCATGTTCAGCACTGTCGACTGGTTCGCGACAGTCGTAATACACTGAAGTGTCGCGTCTTTTAAATTTTGAAAGCTTTTCTCCAAAACATCCATGTCCCGTTAATAGTTGTGTTAAGTGGTAGTTTAGTGTACCAAACGATCTAGTGACCCAGGGTTGTAGATCTGGTATAAGTCTCTTCGTCCAGGTGCCTGTATCCGATGCCTGCCATTCCTTTTGCCACTCACGTATTGATTGTTCTCTAAGTTCTCGTTTTGTAGGGGGAGTCAATCCGTTTTGCTTTGCCGCGTATATTGCACATCTCTCGCTTGCCATCTGTTTTAAAGGCAGCATACTCGCTACTACGTTAATAGCATTTGTCGATACCGTCCTGTATGCGCACGCGACTCTTATAGCCATCAGCCTTTGTGGACTCGAGAGCGTCCTTATATTTTTTTCAAAGCGTAGTGCTGGGGCCCACACTGGCGCAGCGTAGAGCATCTGGCTTTGAGCCACGGTCATCAGAAGCTGCCGTTTCCTCTGCTTCGGTCCACCTATATTCGGCATCAACCTTGATAGGGACGTGATTGTCTTCTTGGCCTTTACCGCGACACACTCTAGGTGCTTGCCAAATCCAAGCTTGCTGCTAAATTCAACGCCGAGATAGCGCACATGTTCTTTGAGTGTGAGCTGAGTGTTCTCGAGAAGGAATCTCGGCTTAGTATATCCCCGTTTTGTTGTCAACATTATTGCTTCAGTTTTGCTTACTGATAGTGTTAAGCCCCTGTCAGCCATCCACCTCGCCACTGCCTCCAATGACTGGTTCATTGCCGCTTCTAGCAGTGCCGTCGTATGTCCTGTAGCCAGAACTGCGACATCATTTGCAAAGGCTATGACTGTTGAGCTCGATATGCCTGGTATATTTCCCGGCATCTCCGTGCGCAGCAAGTCATCGTACATTATATTCCATAATATAGGGCCGAGTACGGACCCTTGTAGAACTCCGCTAGTGATTGCACGACGTTGATTTTCACCATAGATGAGCGATCTGTCGCTATAATAACTCCTCAGAATGAGCACTAAGTATGCTGGCACGTTTTTTTCGACGAGGGCCTCTTCGATCCTGACCCAGGATACCGAGTTAAACGCGTTAGCCACGTCAAGGCATACCATGGCGCATAATTGTCTCTTGTACAGAGGTCCCGTGCCTGCTTCCTGTATCACGTTCGTCGCCATCTTGATCGCGTCAATAGTAGAGCGTCCTTCCATGAACCCAAACTGGTGACTGCTGATCCCTCTAGTCACTTCTAGGTGTGCCTCTAGTCTCTTTTTAATTATTCTCTCGAATACTTTGCCGATCGTATTTAGGAGGCATATTGGCCTGTACGAAGACGGCTGATCTAATGGCTTGTTGCCCTTTGGAAGTAGTACCAAAGTGACTTCTTTCCAAGGAGTCGGAAAACTTCCTTGCGTAAGGCATTTGTTGAGTGTTCCTAATATGAGTTCCGATCTCTTTAGAATCACGTGCTTCACTATGATATCCGGGATTCTATCAGGTCCGGGCGCCTTGTTTCCCGGGAGGCCTCTGGCTATCGGTTCTACCTCTTGGCGTGTAATCAACGGTATTTCTTCTGGCGCTTCTGTTTCTGGCCATATCAGCGGTTGGTGGATTGGAAATAGTGTGTCCACAATCAGTTCTAACCGCCCGGGAATAGTTATTCCCGTAATCGGCCTGCGACCTATTAGCTTTTTCGTGGCCACTTTATAGGGAATGCCCCAGGGATCCGTTTCAACTTGGTTGCAAAGTTCCCGCCAACTGTTTTCTTCCTCAATTGTAATCTGCTGGAATGTATCTTGTAGATCAGACAGATTCAGCAGAACTGACGTGTCATCTGAAGTCACTGGGATGCCTTCCCAATTTGTCATAGGCAACAGCGAAAACAGTCCGCGAACCACTTCAGTCGATGTAGCCTGGTCAAGGACAGGAGAGTGACGACTCAGTCTCTTAGTGACCAGCCTGTAAGGGACGCCCCATGGGTCACTGTCGACAGACCGATACAACTCCCTCCAGATATTTTTTATACCTACATAGGTTAAATTAGTTACATAATTATAAATTATTATTGAATTAATCAACAACACTTGTAATAATTATAATTTAAGTCAAATATTTAATGTGGCAGAGTGTATTTATCTCTTCTACAATGGTGATATTTTATACGTAATCAATAATATTTATATTTATAATAGATTTTAATGTATTATATTGTATATTCAACTTTTTTTAGAATATACTAACCTAGACGTTTTTATAACCAGTGTCAGCTGATGTTTTAATTTTCAAGTATCATACATTTTATTCAAAATAATAATTGAAAAAAATTTAAATTTTAAAAGCTCTGTTTGTTTGTTTTGTGCTTATAATTATTAAAATATTAAAACATTTTCAATAAAACAAATAATTTAAATAATTGTATGATACTACTACTATATAAAACATGCTCTGCTTTTTAACCTCTACAACCCTTTTAATTTAATTGGATAATAAAATATTCATATTTTATTCGTATAAATATATTACATATATTTATCATATAATATTGATTTAAGTTACTTGAATAAGATGAAATATTAGTGGACCTAAATTTCCTAAATTAAGTGTAAATATTTGTATTACGAAAGTTTCAACAATCACAAAAAATAACAAATTATTACAACAAACAACAATCAAGTTTTAAAAAAATCATTCGATACAATCAGTGAAAAATAAAAACCAGAAGAGCTATATAACATTATTTCAAAATTGTAAATTAACAGTGGTACCTACAAACTACATAAAACTTAAAAAAAGGGGAAATATCAGTTTCCTGGCAGCACATTTAATTTTTCAAAATGGCAGACCGTTTTTGGTCAAGTCCTTAGATACCGTTCTGTTTATGTTATACATTAAATAAATGATTAAATTATACTATTTATAATGTTCAATATTATAAGATTACAAACTGCTGTCTACGGACTACAAATCTACGCTTCAGTTTTAACTTTACAGTCAAGTGTGTCCGAATATCTACGTTCAGTTTTATGTAGGTATAATCGTGAATCGCGTTGTTCAACTTTAAGTACCTATAGTGCGGCCAGCGAAATTAGAAGCATGACCGTCAAGCTTCTAGTTTCGCTGGCCACACTATAGTTCTTGTATATTTATAACTATTATTATCATAGAAGTATTGGAAGATAATCCAAGAAAATTAAAAATATATGAAACTAAGTTTAAAAATTAATAGTTATTTAACGAAAAGTATATGAAATAGTTAAAATAGATGAGAAAAAACAAAATATCCATTTTGTAACGTAATTTTCACAATAAAATGGGACAGCAATAAGGCTCTAACTACTCATTTAAACAGTGAAAATAAAAAAAAATTACATCTTGTAATTTGCTACGTAATTCATTAATCACCGTATTTATGACTAAAAAAATAGCTCGAATGAACTTCAGGTAGTAATCTTTGAAATACATCAATTTACTACATAAATAATCATCATCATAGCTATTTTAGTATGGACTGGGAATAAAATTTAATACTTTTCTACGTGGAGATTTTGTATAATGGCAAAACAATTTCACTTTGAACGTACTAAAGTAGAGGTAACATTCAAATACATTCTCAGTCTAAACTAATAAAACTAGCCACTCAAGATTTGAAAATGGTGACAGATTTTCAAAATAAAAGTTATTTTTCAATTATTATTGATGCGTATAATAAGAGTTGGTTCCCAAAAAATGTACCCTACTGTTCAGTAATTTTACATACTAATGGATTTTTATAAAGATCCAGATAAGACACCATTAAAGTTTTCGAAAATATTAAAAAGTTTACACAGCAGTCAAATTTAGAGCCTTAATTATAAAAATTCATAATTAATTCATAATTCGGTTTACCAAAAACTTTTTGAAAAAATCCAAAAATTAAAATATTAAAAGCAGATTTTAATTGCCACATAATGCACCTTTATAAATTGATATATGATGTAGAAAATTTAACTTTGAAAGTGTATGCCAAATTTTCAAATAAGCGCATAAAATAACTTCAAAATTTTTTTTGAAAAATTCAAAATTGAATACAGAAAAATTCTTAGATATGAACCAAAAATATGATTAAGTTTTTTTAAAGCTATCGATAGACTTGTATTGCTTTTTTGCCTGCTATTTCATTTTATTTTAAATATCAAAGATAAGAAACATATCATTAAGTCAAATGAAAGTTCGTGAAAAATATTAACACTATAGAAATGATTAATTTGTCACATAAAATAACTTTACCAGAATGCTTTTTGTATTTTATTCATCACTACATGAACATACTAAGCGAGGTAATATTAATACTCAAAACAAATTCCATAACATTTGTTGACTTACACAACATAGTGCATAATTTGAGAGATAAAATAGAAATTCGATCGAATAATTAATTTTGAGGTACTAAAGTTATGAAAATTATTTCATTACTGCAATCAAATGAACAAGTAAAATTTAAAAAAGAAGCTTTTGAAGAGTAAAAAAATACTATTGATTATTTAAAAAAGTATTAAAATTTAAACAATTTTATTCTTAAAATGTTTTCAAACTTAAATTTAAAAAATAAAATAATTGAATATAAAGATGCAATACAATCCATGAACCTGTTAGGATTAAAAAATTTTGAAGTATACCGAATTACGACAAAATAAGAAAATGTAAAGGGAGTGTTGGCAGAGATTTCAAAAATAAATATTATCTTCAGACCTTATATAGGTAGAGTTATTAAAAAAAAAAATTCACCAAACTCTCAAGAATTGTTGGAAAAATACTTTTAATTCCTATTAGTGAAGCTTTAGTTGAACGCGTATTTTCAATGACGGGAAATTTGAAGCAAAATGAAAGAATTCGTCCATCAGTGGAAATGATGAAATCAGAACTCTGTATCAAATTAAATAATAACTTAAATTGTCAAGAATTTTTGCACTTAATGAAAAATCCTGAACAGAAATAATTATTGAAACGTGCAGCAAAAAATGTAAGATATGATTTTAAATTTAAATAAAAACATTGTACATTTTAAAAATAAAATGTGTAATTTTTTTTTACATTTCATTACCTATCTTTTCACTTCGTAAACTTAACTATGCATTATAATGTGCGTATAGGCACAATATCTTTTACTGATAATCTTTTTTGGACTTATTGGCCCGTTTCTGGATCTGCTCTTTCGAAGATGGCAATCCTATTTTCGCTCCCACTCTACCCATCGACTACAACCGTTAGATTTTTCTATTTTTGAATCTGAAAAAACTTTTTGTAGTCAGGCCTATAAACATTTTATAATTAATAATCCTG